AAACTATTCCCCTCTATCGCCCACTCCCCTCTGACACCCATTTCCCTCTATCACCCACTCCCCTCTGACACCCACTCCCCTCTGACACCCACTCCCCTCCGACACCCACTCCCCTCTATCACCCACTCCCCTCTGACACCCATTTCCCTCTATCACCTATACCCCTCTGACACCCACTCCCCTCCATCACCCACTCCCCTCCGACACCCACTCCTCTCTGACACCCACTCCCCTCCAACACTGCTCCCTCTGGCACCTCCTTATTTCAGGGTATAGGGAAGTTTCACCTTCTGCTCAAGAGAGGTAGTCAATCTCTGTGCCAAATGGCTTGTCTGGAAAGAATCTGCGTGTGGGGAAAGGAAGCAGTAGGCTAAAGAATCAACGAGGAGAAGCAAGAGAGACCATTCTGGCTGGTGCCATGCAGTGAACTGGGATATGCCGAAGGAGGGGAAGATGAAGATAACTTGCACAGTGGTCCTGCTTCCTCCCAGACTCCAGAGGAGCCAGTTCTGGAAGGCTCGCCCTTTATGTTATTTATTTAATCAGAAATATGAAAAAAATAAATAAAAAGCACATCAGAAAACAAACGTTCAAATACTCTTGGGGTTTCTAGGAGCGATTAAGGTAAAATGATCTCATTTAACTGGGCTCAGAATGTATGATGGGAGAAGGGGTGGGGGTGTGAATGTCAGAGCTCACTCTTGCTGCTCTGGGTCAACAAAAAGCCTCTTTTCCTGGGCCTTGTTTTCAAATCATGTCCTGCCACCAGGGTGTAGTAATCATGTTGTTTAAATTAGTGTTTGTTTTTAACATAACAATACTTAGGAGCGATGAGCAAATTTCTAAAAAGAAATAATGGCAGCAAATGAAGACTCAAAACACCCTCTCTCACTGAGGGAGAATTGGGTCCCTATAACTCAAGCACCAGCGGGTAGGCTACGAAATTTGGAGCCCTGATTTTGGTGTCAGACAGTTTGGGTTTCTACCCTTGCTTTGCCCCTTTCAAGCTGTGTGACCTTAGAAAAGATGCTGAACCTTTCTGAGCTCCTCTTTACAATGGGAATCTAACTCTCAAAGGGTCAAAGGGATTAAGGTAGAACATATATATGACAAGTGTGGCAGTGCTCCGGGATGGGGCTGCCAGATAAAATACAGGACACCTGGTTAAATTCAAATCTCAGAGGTAGCATATTCCTAGGTTGAAATAGCAACACGGCAACAAAATATGCTACCCACATGTGATTTTTTTTTCTTCATATAAACATTTCGAATAGTTTAATTACTAGGTGCCCTGTATGTTTATTTGCTAAATTTGGCCACCTTACCCTAGCATGTTAGAGGCATTTGGTAATGTTTTCTCATTTTCACTTCCTCATAAGCTGATCTAAAAAAGACTTCAGACACTGCCTGATTTAAGTGTTGCTAAATTGTGGTTGCAGGATGGGGAGATAAGGAAAGATGACTGTAGCAATATGGGCTATAACCATATTCTTATTACCACAAATAGATAGTACAAAAAATAGCATCAAACACTGAGGGCCAGCATAGTATCCTACCTGATCATTAATTTACATGTTATGGAGAGTTTAAATAAATTATGGTTCTCTCAAATGACGCATTTTCATCTAGAGATTTAAAATTATGTTTATGGTAAGTTTTGTAATAACATGGGAAAGTGTTTAAAGCATAGTTTTGAAAGAGAAAGGCAGAATAGAAAATTGTAAATACATTATGCTCTCTACTACATTAAAATGCATAGAAAATATCTGGGAGGAAATATGACAATAACTCTGGGTTATTAGTTTTTTTGTTCATTCTTGCATCTTTAGCATTTTCAATATTGTCAAACTTTCTACAATGAACTCTTAAATTACATTAGAATTCACAATTTAGCAATTGTTTTAAATGATAAATAGAATTCTAAGTGAATTAAACAAGTGGTAGGAAACAACGTAAGTTTATTGACAAAACATAGTGTGTTCAGATTGTAACAAAACCATACAGTTGATCTTTAAAAAAAATCCCCTTTGTTATGATGCATAACACAAACAGGAAAGTGTATAAAATACAAATGTACATTATTTTTAAAACAGAGACCCAGGTAACCACCTCGGTCAAAACACAGACTGCTGTCAGTGCCCCAGAGGCCCCCATATCTCCTTTCCCAGTCACAACTCACTCTCTTCTACCAAGTTGGTTTGTGTAATTTGCTTTCTTTTCTTTTCATTTCAGCTTTATCACCTAAATTGCATCCCGAAAAAATACAGATTAGTTTGGCTTGTTCCTGAACTTGATATAAATGGAATCATGTGTCTGGCTTCTTTTACTAAACATGCTTGTCTAGCATTGTAATCATTTATTCCTTTTTTGTTGCCGTGTTGATATTTCAACCTAGGAATATGCTACCCCTTATGTGTCCATTCTGCTGTTGATGGATATTTGGGTTGATTCCAGGTTTTGGTATGTGAACTGTGGCTGCTGTCAACGTGCCGGTCCACGTCTCCTGGTGCACATGTGCTCACTGGGGCTGGTATTCTGGTTTCTGTGACCTTACGCTGTGCTAATGAGATTTCTACCCATCTGTGACCATAAAAGGGAAAACTGATAAAGACCCTGGAGTTTGGGAATCTGAAGCTGTGGATCTTGCTGTCATGGATTGGTTCCTATTCATGACACATTCATATTGCAAAGGACTGAAAACCCAGCAGTTTTCTTAAATGTCAGAATAAACCTGCTGTTACTTTAAATGCATTCAACATTCTTTTAAATGGCAAGAAGCAGTCTTAAAAGCTTTTTTATTTCAAATTAATAGCATATAAATGTGAAAGTCTCTCTTTTGTGACTGACAAAAACATTTGCCAATATTCCAAATTAGACCATTTGTTTTTAGCTAGAATCAGAAAAAAATGTTTTGGGCTGGAAGAGATTTTAGAGACACTACCTAGTTCAATCCCTTCATTTCATAAATTAGTAACTGAAGCCTCCTTGAGGTTTAATATCTTCCCAAGGTCATACTTAACTAGTGTAATACCAAGACTAGAATAACAACTTCTGACTTCCAACGTTGTATATTATTAAACTCCCTCAAAATATTACACAGAGTCACCTTTAAAAATTTTTTTTAAAATATATTTTTATTTATTTCAGAGAGGAAGGGAGAGGGAGAGAGAGATAGAAACATCAATGATGAGAGAGAATCATTGATTGGCTGCCTCCTGCACGCCTCCTACTGGGGATCGAGCCCCAACCTGGGCATGTGCCCTGACTGGGAATTGAACCTTGACCTCCTGATTCATAGGTCGATGCTCAACCACTGAGCCACGCCAACCGGGCCAGAGCCACCTTTTAACTATTGGACATGCAGAAGACTAAGACTGTTATTGTCACTGTCACCATCATTACATCTGATGTTAATATGAGCCCTTCTGCTTGATTTTCCTGATGCCTCATTGTTATCACACATGTATAAGATGATGCATATGCTATGGCACTGGGGCAGTGGTCACTTTTTTGTAATATTTCAATCCATATGGCAACAGATGGTTGTGAATTGTTAAGCTCTTGAAAGTCGCAGCTCCGTATTTACCGTAACCATTGAATGGAAGAGCATTGGAGACAGCAACTCTTTGTAAAATCTTGTCCTGTGATTCCAAAATGTCTGTCTGAGATCTGGTACTAGTTTGGGATGGTGTTTTTCTTCATCTGTGGTAACATGTGAGAAAAAAAGAAAGGACAATAGCAAGGAGTTTTTCATAACGTTAAGGGACCACCTTTGGTGCTAAGACTTGTCTTTTCTACATTTTGTGTGTTAAAAAGCACTTTCTCTAATAGTATTTTTCATGATATTTATAGTTTAAAAATATTTTTGAGGACAATGCTTACAACTGTTTTATTTCACTATCATATATGCAGTTCCTAGCATAGTGACTGGCATGTAACAGAGAATAAATATTTAAACAAATGAGTAAAAAGTTAATAAACCTAGTTTGGTCACCAATTTGGGGGAAGGGGAGGCCAGGAGAGAATTTTACTAATGGCTGAAACGCAGAAGTCTGGTAAATTTCAGATTCTCACTCCTGAGAAGCAGTCCAAAACACCTAGTGTATTGGAATGTCCTCTGAAAATTCACATCTGCCGGGACCCTCAAAATGTGAGCTTATTTGGAATAGGGTCTTTGTAGATCCAAGTGAAGATGAGATCATACGGCATTAGAGGACCCTGTTCCAGTGACTGGTATTCTTACAAGAAGGGGGATATCCGGTACAGAGACACAGAAGAAAACCATGCGAGGACAGATACCAGAAGACAAGGATTACAGTGATGCAGCTCTAAGCCAAGGAATGCTGGCAACTGCCAGAAGCTGTTTGAGGCAAGAAAGGCTCCACCTTCGCCACTCTCACCACCCCCACCAGTCCTCAGAGGGAGCATGATCCTGCCAACACCTGGATTTTTTTGGACTTCCAGTCTCTAGACCTGTGAAAGAATACATTTCCTGTTGTTTTGAGCTACAGTTCATGGTACTTTGTTATGCAGCCCTAAGAAATGAATACCACGTATCTAGAAGTACAGACCAGCAGATGTCATGGGAAGTAGAAGAGAAAAGGGCAAGATTTCTAGGGATTGACTGTGTCTCCTATAATCTATTTTGGGGCAAAGAGAATACAACGATACTTATTCAGGGTATAATTAATGATTATAAGTATAGGGACTCGAGGATACATTTCTATTTTTAGTCACAGAAGATCCAGGGAAAATGCTTTGAAATATGTAGGAAGGATTTATGTTAGATATGAATCTGGATGCAAAGAGGTATTAGGCACTTGTTAGAACCCAAAATGTGTTTCTAAAAAGCTGGGTATACATCAATTTTTAAAAATTAATGTATTTTAAATGTAGTAATAATTTAGGAACCCAGTATTTAAAGCAATTGTATGATAAAGTCAGATATAAGAGAAAGAATGAAGAATAGCCTGGGAAGAAATATTCATACCTTAATATAATTTATATATCTAAGTTTTCATAATTCCCATTTGTCTAAAACAAGAACTGTGTATACAAAAGAAGAGAACAGGTAAATTTTTACTAAAGATGAAAGAAAATGGCAATGCCTATATATAAGCTTTCTTAGTGCAGGCATTTTTGTTCATTCTCTGTAGTGGGGATAAATGACGCTGACACATAAAAGTTCCAGGTAATTTACATTGTTACCAGAAGTACTGGGATTCCATGGTCTTCATGCGATCTAATACTTCATTGTTGTGACCTTCAACACATGTTTATTTCTACGAGGCAGGATGTGAGAAATAATAAAAAACAAAGGATTATGAGATTAAAAAGGGTACACTAAAATCTGAAAAGCTGTCAAACTGTATCTATAAAATGGACTACCTAAGGTAGTAATGTTAACCTCTAGAATGGCCGGGAGCGAGATCGCACTCCACCTGTCTTTCCCCAAAAGTGCCCAGAACGCTATTGTGCTCCTCCTGCAGTGTCACTATTAGATGCTAGTAGTTCACTCTTTAGTGACAGATGGCACCTAAGTGCAGATTACTTATGATGCCGAATGTTTGTAGTTCTAAAATTGACCACTGGCATTTATCTGCCTAATTTTCATATTTTTTTTTTCTAAACTGCTGTAAAATCAGCAAAAATGCCTTGGCAATTTTAGCATAGTTCCTAGGATATTGGTTGGCACTCAAAGGGTTAATCTAGGCTCTGGAAGTGTTCTTAGAAGGGCGGGGTAAGGCTTTAGAGAGCTCAGGAGGTCTCATCCTGCCACTGGGCAGGAAACATATGAAATCAGTTTGGCCACCTGGGGCTCATTTCGTGCACCAGAGCAGTAATTTGCTAAATGGATCCCTCCTAGTAAAAAAAGAATGAGTAAATAGTGAGCAATTTAGTCATGGTAAACCACTAGTAGCTCAAGGGATATAAAAATGTGAAACTATAATTAGATTCCTGTTCATAATGTACTAACTAAATGTATTACATTGTATATTACATCTTTCTAAGTTTATTTCTGGACACAGCTGAGTCCTTAACAGACGGAAGGCATCTCAGCTATCAATTCATGCCTCCATTAAAATTCCAACTACTTATATTAGAAAAAAAATTCCAAAGATAGTTTCTTTTATCTTGGATCCTAAGGATGCAAACAGGGTTAACCTAGATGCAAAACACAGCAAGTCAGTAATAAGTCACACAGCATAAAATAAACTGTGGCAGTAAATTGAAAATTATGTTCTCTTTTTCTATACTTAACTGTTAAAATATTTTAACAAGTTGGCATCCAGGTTTGCAACTTTTACGTCTGTTATTTCTTTTCAGGATTATCTTTTAGCATTTTAAGAGGTGATTCTTTGAAAAGCGTGGCCAGTCAGAAATGTGATATTAGATGACTGTACATTTGCAGCACTTTAAAGGTTGGGTGTGGGGGGTGTCATTCAGGAGTCACGTGGTTTCAGGATATTGGTCTATTCCCCACTCTACTTTAAAGTAGAAGAAGCTATTTCATGGGTGTCTGGAAAATATTTATCCTGTACTGAAGTCCTTTTCTTATTCAGTATAGTGTGTGCTGGCTCAGATGGTCTGAATGACATTTTACAATACTAGTAAACTCCAAGTACAAGTTTCATGGCCCTATCAATGTATTATTTCAACTACCAGATTCCAGTTAATCTGTTGTTAAGGGTACTGCCTATTTATGAACTCTTATTTTCTTTCTGTCTCTCCTCTCACCTTCAAGTTGAGTAACTTTATGGAAGGTTTGGAGGTGGAACAAGGTATGAGTCACACTGTGGATCCTTGCTCTTCTTTCCACCCAACTCTGATTTTCATTATTCGAAGTAAAAGGGAATATAGCATCTTTCAGATTATGAACACTATGCATGCAATAGTTTCTACATTAGACCCCTCCTCCTCCCAATTTAATAATTCCTTATACCATCCCCGCCCCCTTCCTATATTTTGGATTCTAAATTCTCTGAGCAATGCTTTTTCTTTAAAAATTTTCCCCTTGGAGGAGGTGTTTTGGTTATAAATAACTTCAAAGAATAAACAAAATTCCTGGCGGATAAAAAGGCTAGGTGACTTGTAATGCTAAATGACAAGAACCAGAGCTAGATTAAGTACAGTACTATAATTTCTTTTTGTGGTCAGACAATCATATACTTTACAAAGTGTTCTCCCTGAAATTCTAGCACCCACCTGACACCATACATAGTTATTACAATATTATTGACTATATTCCCTATGCTGTACTTTTATATTCCCATGACTATTTTGCAACTACCAATCTACACTTCTTAATCCCTTCATCTCTTTTACCCTCCTCCCCACTCCTCTGGCAACCACAGGTCAGGTCTCTGTATCTATGAATATGTTTTCAATTTTGTTTGTTCATTTATTTTTTTCTTTAGAGTCCACATAAAAGTGAAATCATATGGTATTTGTCTTTCTCTGACTGACTTATTTCACTTAACATAATACCCTCTAGGTCAGTGGTCGGCAAACTCATTAGTCAACAGAGCCAAATATCAACAGTACTTCTTCAAAATAGACTCTCCCAGGCCAAAAACCGACTTCTGTGCATGGGCCACGAAGTTTCAATCGCACTGTACATGCGCCCGCACGTGGTAGTTTGTGGAAGAGCTACACTCAAAGGGTCAAAGAGCCGCATGTGGCTCGCGAGCCGCAGTTTGCCGACCAGGGCTCTAGGTCCCTCCATGCTGTCGCAAATGGGAAGACGTCATTCTTTAGTTATGGCTGAGTAATATTGCATTGCATATATGTACCACAACTTTTAAAATCCACTCATCTATTGATGGACACTTGAGTTGCTTCCATATCTTGGCTATTGTAAATAACTGCAATGAACATAGGAGTGCATCTATTCTTTTAAATTCGTGTTTTGACCCTGGCTGGTTTGGCTCCGTGGTTGGACTGTTGCCTCTCGTGACCCAAAGGGTCCAGGTTGGATTCCCTGTGAAGGACATGTACCTGGGTGGCAGGCCTGATTCTGGCTGGAGTCTGGGTGTGTGCGAGGAGGCAACCCATTCTCTCTCACATTGATGTTTCTCTCTCCCCACTCCCTCCCACTCAAAAAAAGAAAAAATTAGTGTTTTGAATTTCTTCAGATATATACCCAGAAGTGGAATCCCAGGTCATAAGGCAGTTCCATATTTAATTTTTTGAGGAAACTCCATACTGTTTATAATTTCTTAGAGAGGATGCTAATGGACACTGGGCTAATGGTGATGGTATTTATAATTAAAACGAACTTTCCTTGAGTTTGTTACATTAGCTAAAGCAATATAACTTTAGAAAGCAGATATATGGGAGTTAATATACAGACACACTCACTGCTTTCCATGTCATTTATTCCAAATTTGAAGATCGAAGGGAAACAAATTGAGACCCGTGACTTAGGCCTTTTTTCCTTTTCAGGTATAGGCATAGGAGAGGATTGGCTCGGGATTGCATCATTTCCACCAAGCACATTTAACAATTATCCAAGTTAGAATAACCAGACATTGTCTCCGCTGGCCTTGAAAAAGTGGGGAAAACCTGAGTTTGGCTTAGTTTGTGTATTTGTATCTCACACAATGGGTGGAGATGAGGACCCAACACTCGGGACCTTTGTACCATTTAGAGTCCCTCAAAGCCCTTATTTTCAATTAGTAGGGAAAATGAAAGTCTTCCGGGGAGCGGGAACAGGAGTGGGAGGGTTGTGTACAAATTAATGAACAAGAACATTCCCGGGCACAGAGTTCAACAGCAGAGGGCACACTACCCACTGTCAATGGCCAGCAGCGGGCGGCAAGGAGGGGCAAAGTGTAAGGATCTCTGGGACTTGTAGTCCGTCCGTTTCCGCTGGGCACCTCCGTCCCTTCACTGGCACTACAAATCCCAGGGTGCAATGCACGCCTCTCCTCGGCCACGCCCTCGGCACTGGGACCTCCCGGGAAACTGCCCCTGCCCCGCCCGCGTACGCACGCGTCGGGTTTGTTTACTCTGAAGCCCCGCCTCCCCTGCGTTCCCCAACTGTCCCCACTCCTCCCGGGAATGCCGTCATGCTAGTGATGCATATTCATGAGGCTCACGTGGAGCGCCCGCCCGGCCCAACTCCCGCCTTCCCGCTCCAGGCGTGTGATTAATATTCAATGAGCCTAGCTTCGCGGCTGGTTAGCCGGCGGGAGGTGGGGGAGAAGGCGGGTCCTGCGCGCGGGAGCCCGCGAGCCGGGTGGGGAGGGCGTGTGTGGGGGGGCGGTGGCGGCGAGGCGGGCGCGCGGGATGGAACACCGAGACACCGACGGAATGCTCCGAATTGCCACATAATCCCCTGGAACGGCCGAGCCGATCGCCATTGGCGTCTCCCTTCTCCCCGCGCCGCCGTCTCCCACCTTGGCCTCCCCGCCTCCCTCTCCGCCCGCTGCCTCCCGGGCTGGGGGGGAAGCGCGAAGCCCCACTGCAATGGAGCCCGCCGCCGCGGCTACGGCGCAGCGACTGCCAGAGACAAGCAGAGAGGACCGGGCTCCGGCTGCAGTGGCGGCGGCAGCGGGGGCAGTAGCGTCAGTTCTGGCGCCGGAACGGCAACACCGAAGACCGAAGTCCGTTTCAACCGATCTGGTGTC